TCATCTATTTTTTATATAAAATTAATAAAAAAATATAATTAATACACTCTTAACCTCTTTATAAAAAACTCATAATGAAATTTGTTTATGTTGTTAGACATTTTGCTCTTCATTATACGAAAGAAGTCAATGCTTAACACTAGAGAGAAATTTTTGATAAGAAAGACTCATGGGCCTGACCCTCTAAATGATGAGTGCACCGACGAGTCCACCAGATCCAAGTGGACTCAACTCGACTTAGATGGAGTAATAAGATTTTATTTTAGAGGCTCAAGCCCATGAGTCATTTCTTTTTGAAAGCCCATTAATCATATCAGAACTGGGTTATGGGTATTGGGTCAAGATCCTTGTGGGCTATATCCAAATCCAAAATTTCTAATTATTGGACATGGGCATGAATTTGGACGTGGGAGATGGCCTTTTCAAGTTTCTGTCTCAGAGGCCTAGGGTGGTTAGAGTAGTTGGAAATCACTAATTTTAATTTTAATTTTATTAATTTATAATTTTTTAAATAATTAATTATAATATTTAAAAATATTTATTTATAAATTAATTTTAGTATATTTAATACTATATTAATTATATTTTATTAATTATTAATTATTAATTATTTTTAATAATTAAATTAAAATAAATATTTAACTATTTTAACAACAATCTTAACAAAATTAATGGTAATCATAACTTTTAATTTAATAAAAACTCTATTAACTTTTGTTTTTTTTTTTTTTTGCCTATTATTTTTAGATACTTTCACGTTCATCTATTGTTTTTTACTTTTATTTCAATTTAGTCTAATATGTTAACTTTCTAACATTTACTTTATTTAGTCAAATTAATCTTCAACTATATCTTTCGTTGATTTTTATTTATTAAAATTAATTTTGAAATAAAACTAATTTTGTAAAAATGATAAATTCCTTTTACTTGTTTAACAAGTTGTAACTTTTATTACATACTATTTCAGCTTTTCTTTTTAATAATTTTTCTTTGAAGCAGAAATCATAATTATTGATATATTTTAACAGTTATCAACATGTTTTAACAACTTGTATAGCTTGTATAGTCTCTTCTGAATTGTTTTATTGGCTAAGACTACTTTAGTTTAATTTTGATTTAATTTTTCTATTGTGTTTCTATTAAAATTAATGGAAGTTTTATATGATAGACTATTTTGAAATATTTTACAAAATTTATAAACTATTAAAAAAAACCCCTAACTTCCTAAACTAAAATAAAATTATTAACAAAATAAAATAAAAATAAATAATTAATAGATCAATTATTTAATTAACCCTAATCATAACTAGGGCAGCGTAGCCGCCTAAGGTATATTCAAAGAGTTTCCAGCTAAAGATGAACAGCAGGAACAGCATTCAATTTATCTTGTCAAATTTATTCACAGAAGATCTCTGTAGCACCACACCATTACATTGACCCCTCCAATCAAGCTCTCATCAAAACAAGATTAAACATCAGAAAAAGGCCAAGACATCAACCAACCACGTTCTTATTTTCAAGACCATACATACAACCATACATTTCCAATGGGAAGCAAAATGCATGCACTAGGCCCTCCCCACTGCCGTCTGTTTTTGGAGTGCATGATTTTTTTGACTATGGCATTTGGATAAGCTCAGAAAGACCTATTCTTCTGTGTAGTTGTCGGTATGATGCTTTTGTTGGGGTTGATGGACATGGACCTTGAAGATAAAGACGTGCCAGGTGCAACTAAGGTGGTCAGTCCGGAGTAATTCAGCTTCTGTTCATTGAGGCCACTTATCTTCAATGATAATGTGGAAATCCTGTAAATTGGTAGCGGTGGGACCAGCTAATCTGGTG